ACATATAGTATGTGCGTTTGGACTTTCTTATGTACCAATCATTTCATTAGGAAAATTTAGCCCCCGTAAGAGCTGTAAAAAATTGCACTGGCCGACCTGTTAGGGTCGTCCGTGCGGGGTATTGGGAATAGTTTTCAACTAGCAATAACCACGCCTCGGTAAAACCTCATTGGCTATGGTACCGCCACTGCGCAAAGCTAACGACGAACAGTTGCGCATAGCATACATAGCGCTATTTAATTTTAAAAAGTTAAAGGTTGTAAAAAAAGTGTTTTTGTATTTTATATAATCAACTTTGCAGAAAGTCTTTAAATGTATATATTTTTCAAAACAGAATAATATTTTACATTTTATTGTAAGTGTATAATTTGTAAAGTGCTCACGATGTAACGATAAATATGAATAATTTGTAAGTATAAATAAATATCCAAGGGAAATAATTAAGACAGTTTTTTTGTATTACATTTTTAAACATTAAAATTAAACAGGGCCGAGATTAAATCAGTAAATGTCTTTTTTTCGTCCGTTAAGTATAGCTTATATAGATTATAGCTTAGCAATTTTCATTAAGTATTAATCTTATTTTAAGGTAACTTAAATCGTGTTAAAATATACATTATTCTGCTCATTATTAGTTATTATTACATCCCTTGTTTACGTTTCGAAAGAGTAAAAACATGAAAATAGTTAAGTCTGCACAAAAACCTTTTTTTAAAGACAAATATAAACAATGAAATTAAACGCCACACAGTCGTGATGAGTATACCTCTGTGTCCTCAACGTTTGGTACTTAAAGGTTGCTTAGAACATTTCAAATTTCATAGCCATGAAATCCTATAACATTTTATAAAATTAGGCATATATAAAAAGCAGATTTTATGTCGAAAACAATTATTTAAGACCGAATAAATCGCGTATAATATACAATTTTAAGTGTTTAGTCTTATTCGCGAAGAACACGCAATCAGAAATACATTTTCGGACTATTTAAATAATGCTAAATATATCTAGATCTATATATTATACATATTTTACGAAACCTACGCTCCAAACTTACCATTGTTATTCTCATTCTTGCTCTGGATTTTCCATAGGGTAGACCTACATCTATATTTAGATAAATTAGATTGTCGTTTCTGGGAGCCTAAATCGGCTATCACAGACATGGCTTATCGAAAGAATTTTTATGCCTGGGCTCTAGCCTAGACCATGATCATAAGCGAGTGTAGATTGGGGTAGCACCACACCCCTCCACCCCACGACAGAAATAATATGTAACTTTTTAAACACTTTTGTGGAAAATATTGATATAAATGTATTATGTATGAATGTTTGGCACGGAGCATATCGTACATTAGGAATCCTTTAAAACATCGGGAATTCACAAGTTAGCTCCATTATAAAAGTGTTAAGGGATACTTACATTTCAGTCATTTAGCACATGAATATGTGAGTAAAATGATGTGATATTTTGTTATATACCGTGTATCTTCGTGTAGTCATTGGCGGATCGGTAGAGCCATTGTGTGTAAGCCAGTGTTACTTTCATATTTTGTTCTCGGAGGGGGGGGGATAAATTTTCCGAGAGCGGGTGGGCGGAAAATAATAAAAGTTATATTGTCTATATAAATTATATTTTTTTCGGGGAGGAGCAGTAGACTTGCCCCCCCCCCCCCCACCCCTCCTCGGAACATAAGCCCTCACCACCATTCAGAGGCGTAGCGACGGGGGTCGAGCGGGATGGGTACATATGTCCCCGGGCGCCGACCCTAGGGGCGCCAAAATAAGCTAATTTAGCTGCTATTTTGAATTATATATAAAAATATATGGGGGGGGCGCCTCTGCCACCACCTAATCAAATATTTTGAAAACGGACCAGAGATAAAACCCGTTGTATGGGTCATGGACAAAAACTGTACACCGCGAGGTTTGGTCCCTTAACCAATCAACATTACCTTATAGTTCGGTTCGAAATTGCCTTTTGATCAACAAGCACTTATCGAACTTCTTTTTGGTGTTTGGCTGTTGTAGAAAGCCGTTTGACCAGACATTTATGTTGGCTCCATGTCTCCTAAGATAAGTCAAAAAAAAAAAAAAAAAACCCCGCTTTCACGGTGTCGGGTTATGCCCAGTGTTTCTTCCAGACTTTTTTCTCTGGGGGGAAGGGGGGTGGGGGCACTTGATATTTTCCGGAGGGGGGGGGGGCGGACACTTGTAAAGGTATATGTTTACTATATAACCCCCCCCCCCCCCCGAAGAGATGCCTGGAAGAGAATGATTATGCCACTAAATCTAAATGAGATACATCAGAGACGTAGCAAGGGGGGGGGGGGTGACACCATTAATTGCCGCACCGGGTGACACCCGACCTCGCTACGCCACTGAGATACATAACTACAGGGGTGGACTGGGACACCTGGAAAAATCCGCCAGGATCAGTGCTGTAATGAGTATGTCAGTGTTTTTTTTAAAAAGAAAGTCTTTATTAAATTAACCCTTCTCGATTTTGTTTTGTAATTATTGTATTTTGCAATTTGTCAAGGCTTGGTCGGGAAAAAAAAATGCACCATGTAAACTTTAACCAGAATCACTCCCCCCACCCCCACCCACCCATCGGAAACTATACAAGCTCCCAGGAGAGGTTTCAAGGGGGGTAAAATAAAAACATGGACATCGCTAGTCCACAGCTAAAAATAAAGTAGGCCTATAACGTGCCTAGCATAATCATGAACTTTATTTTCATTTAATTAATGTAAACACACTTACTCTTTTTTTCTTCTCTACTCTCACGTATATTGTGCATTCGGAGGACTGAATTAGCAGTCACTCTATGTCACGTACTCCCCCGCTGTTCATGTATTTAAAAATACTGTGGAAATAATTATTTAAGCTCAACTTACATTGTCTTTATTGTGTACAAACTTTTAGAGAGGGCACTGGGAGAGGTAGTTACACCCTCACCAGATCATCATCATCATCATCACTCCTTTGTGGCCCCTGTGGAGCAAAGAGCTGCAACCACACATCTCCAGCGGACTCGGTTTTGGGCTGCTCCTTTAATCTGTGCCCATGTGAGCCCAGCTGTTTTCGCTTCTTCTTCAACCGTTCTTCTCTATGTCTTCCTTGGCCGGCCCACCCTCCTTTTCCCCTGGGGATTCCAGTCCAAAGCATGTTTTGCGATGTTTTCTTTTTCTTTTCTTAATGTGTGTCCGATCCATCCCCATTTATGGGCCTTGATATCTTTCTCTATTGGCTGTTGCTTTAAAATTTGCCACAGGTCTTTGTTTGATATTTTGTCTGCCCATCTTATTTTAAGTATACAGTAGCGTAGCCAGGATCGTCTCATGGGGGGGGGGGGGGGGGGGGGAGGGGGGTTCAAATTTTTACCCGGGGACAAACTTTCGATTTGCACTCCCCTCAAACTTTCGATTTACACCCCCTCATACCTTATATATATACCGAGGGGTCTATGGGGGAGGGGTTATGACCCCCCTAACCCCCCTGCCTATGCCACTGTAAGTATATGTCGTAAGCATTTGTTTACGAATGCCCAGTGTTTCTTCTAGACTTTTTTCTCCGGGGGGGGGGGGGCACTTGAAATTTGCGGGGGGGCGGTAGACTTTCTTCAGGGGGCGGACACTGTTAAAAGTATATATTTTCTATATAAATTATATAAATTTCATTTCGTTCGGGGGGGGGGGGGGTGGTAAAAAATTTTCGGGGGGGGGGGGGGGGGGGCTTTGCCCCCCCGAAGAGATGCCTGGAAGAAACTCTGCGAATGCCTATAGCCTATCAGTATTTGTCTTCGTAACCCTCCAAGTCTCCGAGCCATAGATGGCAGCCTGTATTCAGCATAACAAGACAGGACCTCACGTAGAATCCACAGGACTAAAGGAAATAGGCCGATCAAAGAAAACCTAGAGATGTGACCTGGAAGAAGACACCAAGATTAGATACACCTGGGGATAGTTAGCAGTGTTCCTTCCAGACTTCTTTCTACGGGGGGGGGGGGGCACTTGTAAAATTTTATGTTTTCCATTTCCATATAAATTCCATTTCGTTGGGGGCGGGGTAGATTTTCTAAATTCTACCTACGTCCCGGGAGGAGCGACAGACTAACAGCTATGCGGGGAGTGGATAAGGAAATGTGACATAGCTTATAGGCCGAATTATTTGTAGGGCGTTTAATGAAAAAAAAATGAGCAAGAACATACTACGTTTTGTTACTATTAGCAAGGGCTTTTTGATGGGGCGGGGAAGAACTTTGTACGTTATTTAAATGGGCCGTGGCTTAAATAACGACGTACGACAATAAGTCAAGTGTGTAGGCCTACGTGTTTAAAATCTGATACATTCTTTATCATGTCATTTTATCGACGACTACCATTATTAAACAGACTAAACCGAGTAATTTAGGGGTAGTAATTAAGAGCTATTTTAAACACATTTTAACTAAACCTTAGATCTATAAGCGAGTTAAATAAAGGTCAATAGTTAGTTTACTCATTAACTTTTGTAAAAATATGCACACATATGCTGCGTTATAATATTAGGCTAATCTTAGCGCCCTTCCTCCAGTGTTTCTTCCAGACTTTTTTCTCCGGGGGGCACTTGAAATCTTCGGGGGGGGGGGGGGGGGGGGCGGTAAACTTTCTTCGGGGGGGGGGGGGGCGGACACTGTTAAAAGTATATATTTTCTATATAAATTATATAAATTTCATTTCGTTCGGGGGGGGGGGGGCGGTAAAAATTTTTCGGGGGGGCGTAAGAGATGCCTGGAAGAAACTCTGCCTTCCTCGTTTCACTAAGTAGCAGAAGAACGACTCCCTTCAGTTTTTATGGACAACCACTTTCTTTCACAATAAAGATCACTAATATAATTGTATTTGCGTTTAGAAAAAGTAACACACAACATAGATTTATATTTAATAATTAACATAATTTTCTTTTGTTTCTTTAAATACTAGCACGAAAGTGCGACATTTTTAGGATCCCGCAATTGCGTTTTTGTTAAAGCACATACGATTGGTTAATTTCAACTCATGCGCCATTTTTCTGCATGTTCAATAACAACACTTTAAATGGCAGACGAAGAAAAAGATTCGAAATCAGGAAACGAAAAGGTAATTTATTATCATATCATGTGTTTCTTAGCGATATCAGCTACACTTATGTTAAAGTTAAAATATTTGTCGATCATTTCCTATGAATTAATTAAGTTTATGATACTTTACACCGCATCCAAATTTAAGATTCCGAGAAAATAACCTATTGTCGATAACCCAGTTAGCGTTTTTTTCGTCCAAGTAGGTGAGAATCTAGAAATCTAGACTAGATCTAGATCTAGCTAGATTAGATCTAGATCTCAGTCTATTTAGACTAGATCTAGTTCCAAATAAATTAGACATAGCTAGTCTATTATTTTATAGCTAAGTCTAGCTACAAGCTAGATCTAGATCTATGATTCCTTTCCACTTCCACCAAGTCTTGACCAAGTCAGCCATTTATTTAATACAAAATAAATGAGTCCAAAACAAATCACTCACTCAAATGTCTTACAGTCTTACTTATAGCTTATGTTACATTCCTGCCAAGATTATATTTTATTGGGCAATCTATTGCTTTAGGTACGTAAAATCAGCCATGGCTATTAATTTGAAAAGAAGGTGCATCATTAATTTTAGATTGTAGGAAAAAAAGTCACAGGAAAAAAAACACAGAAAAAAAGTCACAGGAAAAAAAGTCACAAATATATATTCACATGATATTTGTTAATACTTTTATGTATTAAATATTTAGAGAGTGCAAATTAACTTAGGATTAATGAAATGTGATGTAATGTGTCTAGGCTGTATACGCATAGGAATTTTTATAAAAATCTAAAAATATTTATTATGAAGTATGTAGATTGTAATTATTTTAAACTTAAGATTAGTAGCATTTAATAGAATGCTCCAAAGTCCACGTTTTTCATCGTGTTTTTTTTAAAATACCAATATTAAATTACTGTGAAGTGGTAAGTTCATCTGACTTGCTGCCCTCAACTCATGGCAACAATAGTTATGATTAGTTCAACCACATTTATCACGCTCATTACATAACAAAACTTAAGATCAAAACAGAAAGCCGACAAGGTTCAAAGGCTGTCGATGACGCATAACGTCAACAACACAAAATATGTTCGGACAATGCCTACTGAGGAGAGGCCGACCAGAGAATAGCCTACGGCAAAATGTGCCTAAATTTCTTTTATAATTAACTTTTCTACCGCGTATTTAACTAAATACTTAACAAATGTTGAGATTGTTGTGTTAATTATCTTAGAGAATTTTTACTTACAATTGTTAAAAATCATAATGCTTTCGTCTATAAATAATTTATGCTATCAAAAAATACAACCCACAACAATAAACATACAAAATTTTACAATTCTTAACAAATTAATAATAAATTTTTTTAAAAAGATTTTTGTGACTTTATTTCTGTGACTTTTTTTCCGATACAATTTTTCCACTGTGACTTTTTTTCCTAGCAAAAACTGTGACTTTTTTCTGTGTTTTTTTTTCCTGAGACTTTTTTTCCGTTTACCTAATTTTAGTAGGCCTAGGCCTAATTAATAAAAATAATTAGGCCCTATATACCCTAAAATTAGTGTACCAACAAAGACAGAAAGAATGAAGAAATTTTAAGAAATAGATGAAAGAACTACTAACCATAACTATATTCCAGTAGTACTTTTAAGCCATAAAACTAAACATATGTATTAAAAATATTCTTCAGTCTTATTTTTTTATTTGCTACTAGTGTTTAATTTAACTATATTTTAGCCTGAAACCGATGCTTCGGAAGGCAAAGAAACTAAAAAGGTAGCAGAAGATGATGAGACCAAGAAAGAAACACAGAATCCTAAAAAGGATGAAAAAAATTCCAAAAAAGATAGTAAAAGTCTAAAGAAAGAGGAGAAGCCTAAAAAGGCAGTTAAAAAAGTGGAGAAAAAAGAAGAAAAGGATACCAAAGAAGAGGATACAGAAGAAAAAGAAGATGATGAGTCTGAGGAGGAGGAGGAAGAATTGCCACGTGAGTTTTTATTGTTTGTTTTTTGTATCTGCCCTTATTGCCTGCATTATTTGATAGCCTGTTTTGCTTACTTTTCCAAAAATTGGATATCATTTGTATCATTTCAGCTGGATTGCTTGAAGTTCCATTAGTCGTAGAAGGCAAACGTGAAAAAAAGAAAGTTGAGAGACTTTCAGCAACTATGATGGTCGCTCCTCAAGAAAAGAAAAAAGTTGAATTTGAAGAAGGCTCTGGGGTTAAACTCGGGGATATTCCATACAGTAAGTAGGCCTACTTAATGCATTGTTAATTTATGTATGGCATATTATCATAGAATTCATTAAGTTGGACACTCATCTATTTCATAGATATCGTTTGCCACAAAGGTGATTTCACATACATTTTAATGTAATAGAGAATGTTTTATTGATGTAATTAAGCTTACACTTTTTACATATTTTGTTTTATTTTAGTTGAGTATCAGATTAATTCAGCAAAAGCTATAGATTTAAAGCCCTTGCACAGGGTGCTGTTCCTACGCCCTGGTACCAACATGATTATCAAGAAAAATATTAAACAGTTTTCTGGATTTTCACATTCAAAAGACTCTAAAGAACATGAAAAGAGGATGTCAGTCTTGAATAAGTAAGTTATCTTTGTTTTGTTGTTCATTTGATTTAGATTGATAGAGCTTTGATTTCGGACTCAAAACCACAGCACAAATGGCACGTTCCTACCAGAGTTTTTCAGAATTGAAAATTTCTTTAAAAAAGTGAATGGTTTCAAAGCTGGTTTAAAAACAAAAAGAAATTGAACAGTTTGTTAGTCAGTCTTTTATTTACAATATGAGGTTGTGGAGAAAATTAGCTAAACTAACTAAATATCTGCAAAGCTATATGTCTTCTCTTGACTTTAAAATGTAAAGGCTTATTTTTGTTTGCATTTATACTTACTTTTGACTGTTGAGGACCAAAACTTCTTTTTATATTTTCTATTAATAATCTTAAAAAATGAACTGGACTGTTTATTATTTTGTTTGAACAAATGCCATATTTTTTATATGCTAAAATTTTTTTCTCTTTTTTTTTTAGGATGGTCATAATGGAGCTCAAATTCATCTGTATAGTGTTGGGTTTGGAGAGAAGTGGCACAAAACCAAATCTTGTCGATAGAATAGAGGAATTCTTGATGGAACCTAAAGATAATGGTCTAAAAGTCAAAGAAAAAAGTAAGTTTTTTTTTTCTCTTGTAGTTCTACTAAACTTGTGTGTTTTTGAACTAGTTGTGCCATAATCGCAAGAGAATTTTGTGTGTGGTACAGTCCGTTACATTGCAGTGGGCCAACTATGTTTATTTACACATATTGGAGGAAGTCCTGTTGGTAATGAGATTTTGAAGATAAAGGAGGAAGTGGGAAATAATAAGTTTTATTTACGTTGTTTCGATTTTACAATTTTACTAAAGTATTTTTCTTGAAATTGTAGGCAAATTAGTAGAATTAAATGTAATTAAAATACCTCTGTAGTCAAATCTGGCTTTATTTTAAGCATTGAAAAAGAAAAGAGCTCCAGTGACTACGTTGAATTTTTTTAACATTTAAAATAAATTTATAGAATTACATAAAAAGTAGTGTTTTGTTAACATTTTTCTGGGATTAGTGTCATTTTAATTTTATTAGTAATAAAATATTATGCCATTAACCTCATACATAATAAACTTTTTACCAATTTTGTGTAAAATGCTTTTTAAAAAAGTGCAGTGATTGAAAAATGTTGTCTTTTGGTGCTCCTGCCGGTATTGGGTTAAAGTTTATATGAATTTTACATCAAACTGTAAAATTCACTGCCTGTCTAGAGAGATTATGAATTAAGCCTAACCCGATCCATCATATTTACAAAGTTGGGATGTTCAGGGAGAAGGAAATAAATTCGAAACATTGTGATGGCCAGAAAGCCATTTTTTAAAAGTTCTGTCTGGAATGTATTTTCTGTTATAGACATTTTTAACAAATTAGGAATATGAATTGATACCATATATAAATTAAGTATAGCCTCCCTCATGTGTGGGGATTCCCTTAACACTGGTGGTTCTGGAAAAGAACTCCTGCATAAAGTGAGGGAACACAACTTCTGTGTTGTCCTTGTGCTATTATAAGCTAATACATCTTCTTTCTTGACATTATTGCTTTCACTTTTCATGACTTGCTATTATTTTAGAAACTTTGTTCATTACATTCTTTTCTCTGTAGAATCTTCAAAGTCTGGTAGTAAAAAGAAAGGCACTAAAAGAAAAAGGACATCCAAAGGATCTGCAAAGAAAGAGAAGGAAGATAAAGATGAGTCCGGTTCAGGAGAAGATGAGGATGCTGATGAAGATGATCAGGAAGAAGAAAAAGAGGAGGAGGAAGAAGAAGAGGAGGAAGAAAGTGAAGAAGAGGTAAACAGTTAGCCAAAGAATGCTTTAAGATAATGATTTGCAAATTGTTAGTTTTTCACATTAATTGGTTCAATATGCCCTTAAATTTAAAAAAAAAATCCATCGTACTCTCTTTATAAACTACAGTAGAGTACAGTAGTAAGTAAGCCTTTGAGATTAAATTGTTAGATGCAGTGATATTTTTTTGGATTCATAATGGTTTTTAGGCTCCCAAGAAGAAGAAAGCAAAGGCAGAACCTAAGAAGACACCAGCTAAAAAGGTGAGCAAAGAAAATGGCAAGAAAGAAAAAGGAAAGAAAGAAACAAAGAAGCCAGCTGCCAAGAAAAAGATTGGTAAATATTTTTTTTGTTTGCTAGCTATTCATTTTGTGTGATAATATATTATTTTGAATTTAGGTATTGTTCCATATATAACTTGGGCTTAAGATACTACTTTGATATATTAAACTCTATATCCAAATATAGTGGTTTTTAACCTTTTTTTCTTTCAGTGTCTGATGACTTGTCAGATAGTTTGTCTGCAGATTCTGAAGACGAACCAATAGCTAAAATTGCTAAAAACTCTCCACCTTCTGTAAGTGCTCTTGCTTTTTTTTATCTCCCCCAACTAAGTTTCATTAACTGTTGTTTGAGTTCACTGATGTTCTGCATGTGATGACCAAAAGAAAACCCTTGTTGAGCCACATACAATAAGCCCATCTGAAACGTATCCTGGTCTGAACGAGTTCTACTGGTTAAAGGGAGGCAATTAGCTTGACCACTTGTCAAAGTAAATTTGTGATTGGTGTTAAGTAGTAGTTTGGTTAAAAATAGGGTGCATACTTGTGAAGATCCAGCTTGTTTGTTGTCATTTAACTATTCGTTTACCAACAACTTCTTTACTAAAGTTGCATTAGCAGGATACCTGTTCTAGAAAAATTCATTGCTTGCAGGAGCTCTATAAACATAAACTCTAAAAGCCTACCACCAGTAGAAAGGTCCAAGTTGATGTTAAAATAACATTATTATGGCCCAAAGCAAGGCTAATTTTGAGTTATGTTTTTTGTGAGACAAAGTAGTACAGTCTTATTGGTGTGATGGTTATCAAATATTATTTTGTTCACACTGGTATTTCAGAATGATGAGATCAAAGAACTAGTAAAGAAAATATTAGATGGTGCAGACCTGGAAACTGTGACCATGAAAACAGTGGTAAAACAGGTCAGTTGTTTTAAAAACATTTTCTCAGGAATTAGCCTTTGGTGCATTTTGATTTAACTCTCTGTTTTGAGTAAAAATAAAAATGTATACATTGTTTTGTCAGGTTTACGCCAAATACCCTTCATTTGACTTGTCTGATCGTAAAGATTTCATCAAGGATACTGTGAGAGAGGTGAGTTTTTTTTTTTTTTGTAGTATATTTTCTTAGTAGGATCATGGGTACTCTTATTTTGTGTTGTAATTATTATTTAATCAATGTTAATTATTCAGTAAAATAAACATTCTTAGTTTGGTAAATTGATTTCTTGTTTTTGCAGGTGATTTCATGAGGGTTGTCTCCATATTTTTAATTAGGCAGCTGTGTATGAGGATGTATGTGTGAGAAACAGGTGGCCTCTGTTTAATGTGTGAATGTTCAATTTTTTTTTTATGTAGAATTTTTATCAGCTACGCCCTTTAGTATCTTACTTGTGCCTTCCCCAAAACAAAATTTTTAAAAATAAATTAATTTATAGTGAAGCAAATTTTATTATCAGCGGAATTAAATTTTAATCTTGAGAGTTTATTTCTACACAATGAAAAATTAAAACTGTACATGATATTTCTACCGTACTATATTCTGGTTGTAAATATGTTTGTATTGTGGGATAGGCAGGCAGGTGTATGTATATAGTTCATTTGTAACCTACTTCATCTATAACCATTTGGTCTGTTTGCATTTATGTTTCAATTTTAAACATATTTTCCCCAGTCATGTTACAAAACCATAAACCACTTTTATATTGATTTTAAAAAAAATAATACAAATACAATTAGGTAATAAATTGTTTTAAAAATATTTATCTTGCAAGTTGTATTTAGTTTATAAAATAGTCAATGTTTATAATACAAATCACACATGTAAAAATAGTGTTTTTGTTTTTTTCATTCCCATATAGTGGATCAGATAAAATACTGTTTGATGTTCAGTACTTTTAGGTGTCATGAGTTTGTGTATTTTTTTGTTAAAAAGGAACAATTTTATAAAAAAACAACAGTGTGTTCACATTTTTTATTACTATATGTTGATGTATGTTGACACAGATGAATCTTGTTTTAATTACGCCATATAAATTATATTGCTGTTGAAGATCTCTTGTTTTGTGTACAAGCATATTAATTGTAATAAAAGTTTTAAGCTCCCCTGGTTTTGTTGGAGGTATGTATATAGCTATAAGGACATTATTATTTTAGTAAATATGTTTACATTGAATTTAAAAAATGGTACAAAAAGAAAACAAAACAAAAAAGATGTAAAAATAAAAATTGAATCAAAAGTTTGAAAACATAGTTTATAAAAAATTATAATAGAAATTTTACACCAAAAAAGAATTACATGTTCAGGTTTAATCTTGCATCACCAAGTGTTTATTTTAAGGATGTTTTTTATGTGGGCTAGAAGTTAGCTAGTCCTTAGAGCTAATGATGGGATGAGAATTTTTTTTAAAATGTTCAAAGTAAAACAATAGGAAATTACTTAAGATATAAATTTATTTGTTAAGTAATTTGGAATCATTGAAAGTGAGATGAAAGTAAGGCATGGTAATTGTGACAAAAAGAAACCCACCTAGATTTTCAACCCTGGACTAAGATTAATAAATGTCTGTAGTAGAAAGTATTAAAAGCAGTGTCGCTGATTCTTTTATTTATTGCAACCATAGTTATAAAATTTAGCCTGATGTTTCCTTATTAAATTAGTTACATGTATATCAACTGATGAAGAAACTGATTAAGGTGGTCTGGACAGGCTAGGGCCCTTACACAGACCCACATGGTCCTTAATTTCACACTCTGTGGTCTAACAGGTAAACTCACTGGGTTATGGCTGTGTGATGTGAGAAGTGTTAAGGGATGGCATGGTCTGGTGCTAGAGCATATGGGACTTAAATCTGTAAAACGTCTCTGAGTCTGTTTGGCTCTGATAGATGCCTGACTGATGTTAAGGGAAGTCAAGGCAGCTTGGCATAGTGCTGAGAATAATCATTCAAATAAGATCAGAGAAGAATAGTAACTACTACTGCATGAACCTTCTGAAAAGTTTTTTTTTTTAAAGTAATAAACACTCAGGACCTATAATGCAAGAAATAATCGAATCTCAGGATGTCTGCTAAAGATGCTTAGAACATTTTAAACCCTCCCCTTACTAAGTACTAATCAACATGAGTAGTTCGCCTACTCATTTCTAAAACGTAGAATGGGTCAACTATAGGGACCATAACCCTGTTTAAACTCTTGGTGTGTTTCAATTTGTTGGGTTATCTTCGCCTTGGTGAGTGGTGGACTATTTATTTATTGAATCATAACAAAATGATAATTTAGAAACGTCACCCATAGAGATATCTTCAGCCTATGATACCTTCTTACCAGTCTCCAAGAGACTACTGGAAATTTTATTACCTCTACTTGGTAGTTAAATGTGAAATCTACTTTCGGTACTAAGTCAAAGATAGACTCGTTACTCCATGCACTCTACATTGTAACCTCGTTAGAAGTGATTACGTTGAAAGTTCAGAAAGAGTACATCAAAATCATAAAACTGGAATGTGATCTTTCATGTATAATGAGCGGAGCACTGAAGTACATAGCAATCTTGATTAATAATTGATATGATTTTACCCTCTGTAATATCTGTTAAAAAGTATTAAAAGAAACGTATAGAATATGTTGAGAAAAACGAATGTTTTTCAAATATAAAGGGGCCTATATGATTAGCCCAGAACGGAGTACGATGGGGAGGTGTGGTTGCGTCCCTTTGCTCCACAAGGGGTCCACAGGAATGAAGATGATAGATATGATTAGCGCATGGCTTATGTAAATGACCCCCCCCTCATATAAATGGCAAAAAAAAAACCAATAATTATTAAACTACATTTAACTTTTGTAAGGAAAGAAAGTTTAATATTATTATTTTCGATTTACGACTCTTGTTAATATAATTTTTAAATTGGGATTATCTAGAGTTTCTTCCAGGCATCTCTTGGGAGGAGGGGGATTGGGAAGGGGGGGGGGGGGAGCAGAGTCGTCGTCCACCCGAACGAAATAGAATTTATATAGAAAATATATACTTTTACCAGTGTCTACAACCCACTCAAAATAGTAATTTTTTTTTAAACATTGATCGATCGAGTATTAAAACATTCACAGTGGTTGGTCAACAACTAGGCCTATATTGATCAATTTTCATTAAAATTCACAGAAAAAAAAATAAAACAAAAAAAAAACGATTACAATCTCAAAATTAAATTAAAATTATTTCTTCTAACACGAGTATCCAAAATGCAAGTTAACTCACATTTTCTGCCCCTCCCCCTTTCCTTTCGTCACAATTCATCACAAAAGTCCGCCCTCCCCTTACCTCCTGGGAGTGTGACGTCATTTGATGTACATGTAAACAAGTAGACAGTCTCATGAACCAGGACCCCATTCACAAGTCTACTTTTTCGGACACCCCCCTCCTCCCCTGTGTGAATGTCATAAATGATTGAACCCTAGGAGGGGGGGGGGGAGGGTCTGGAAAGTGCATTTTAAAACTAGTTTGTTCGTCAACACAACCTCGATTATCGAATGGTTGATGGGTAGAGTTTCTTTCAGATATTTTTTTCCTGAAGGTTGGAGTGGGTAATTATTTTTTCTATGTAAATGTAAGCTTTTTAAAAAATTTGCAGGGTTGGGTGGGGGGGGGGGGGTAGGTGCGTGTCACGGAGAGATGCCTGAAAGAAACGCTGGGTTAGGGTTAGGTCATGTTTATGTAACAATCCTCTGTAGGTAACGTCTGTTGTAATCTGGCATCTTCGGTATATTTTTTATTGTGAATGTATGGTGGGGGTGGGTAGTGACGTATTATGTGAGACTGGTGTATCGGTGGCTGAAGAAAATTATTTTAGGCATAAGACATAAATATTGTATAATTTAAAGGTGACGTGGGCCTCGAATAATCTTCGGCTAAGGACATCGCTCCAAATTAATTCCCAAATGGGAGGTGTTATGGGCCTAAGATAATCTTGAATCAGGTTAATCCACCGTGGTTAGTGAACAGTGCTTTGAATAATCTTGAGCCTGGTTAATCCTCCATGTGAACTAAGTAGGGCCTCAGATAATCTTGAGTTAGGTTAATCCGACATTGCACGTGAATAGGGCCTTAGATAATCTTGATCGAGGTTAATCCACCATTGGACGTGTTTAGGGCCTCATATAATCATGAGCCAGATTAATCCACCATGGGCCGACAGGGAAGAGAGAACTATATTACCTGTCCTTTTACTGTGTGGAATATCCGTATAACTTCTGTAAAATGCAAATAATTTTCATATCGATAAACTATACATTTGATCACATTTCACAGGATACGCAAATACATTTTTATTTTCTCTTTGTTACATATGATACACGTATGAACAATTTTTATCATCTTCAAAGATACAAAGAACTGTAACCCCCACACAACATATATAACCACATATCATTTAGGTAACTGGTTAAGTTTAGGATTACTCTCAAGTTTAACGTGCTACGTACAACACGTAGACGTAAGCACGTTTTAAAAAAAAAAATTGATCAGAAAAATATCAACATCACCCCCTAGATCAAAATGGATGAACCCAGTTTTTATTGAACGGGCGTGCGTTCTTTCGAATCATACTTTGGTCTCTTTCCTCGCATTCCCGTACCCTGCCACCATTGGATTAGGCTTATTTATCGGAGGTATGTCTTCAAGCCAAGGGTCTTCTAATCCAATAAAAGCCCGGCTTAATCCGTTTTTCGTCTCTGAATCGAACTGTCTCCGGACTAGTGGTTTGCTTAAATCAATCACCTGCGAGTCACTCGTCTCCCCCATACAATACTCCCCGAAGCTCGAAGATTTCCCTCCTTCGGAGTATACCTCATCCTCTTCATCGTACGTATAACCCCATCGATTACCGTAGTTTTGACAATCCTCCATGTTCAATAAATCATCATCTATGGAATCCATTTCTCCGTAATCTGTGTTTCTGTTCTCCGAATCACACTGCGCGTTTAGCGCGGACGCCTGCGGCGCGCTGAAAATACTTTTGGGACTCCCAGGACCGAAGTAAGTTTCTTTAGGTAACAGGTTGGATTTCTCGTGAGCCTGGTCTGTCTCCTCGTGTTTCGAGAAACTTCGGAGAAAATATTTCAGGTTTTTGAAAACACCCGACTCTTCTGTCAACATGGTTATATTGCTTAGGAGCTTCATCATCTCTTCTTCGTCACTGCTGACGGTTTTAGAGATGGAATTCAGAATTGATTTGCCGTTACTTTTGAATTCTTCTTTGAGTTTTCCGTTTGTTTTGTATTCCTCTTTGAGTTTCCCGTTCGTTTTGAAGTCTTCGATGACTTTGCCGTTGCTGTTGGAATGCGAGTGGGACAGCCCGTTGTGGCCGTGTTTGGATGAGCTGAGATTTGTTATGGCGTCGTCGTCTTCCGCCTCGTTAGCGATAGACAGCGTGCAGGAGAGCAGGGAGGTTCTCTCCGAGAGGAAATCACTCAGATCTTTGTGCCCTCGCTCGCCCTCGCAGCTTTGTTCGTGTTTCTCGCTCGCGCTGTGATTTTTAGCTCGCGGGTTGTCGTCTTCATTCTGGCTGGAAAAAATATTATTAGTTCCTCTGATGCTGGTGGAATAATTCAACAAAGACTGACTCTCGGCCTCGCTGTCTAGGTTTGATAACCCATCCAATGTATCCATGTCGTTGCTGTTACTCATCGCGCCTAAAGGAGGCATATTCGCCAGGAGTTCGGATACCTCCAAGGAGCATGAAGACACAATGGCCTGCTCTTCCGGCTGCGATGCAAGAGGGCCTCTATACAGGACGTTATCATTGATCCTCCCTTCTACGAAAACGGCCTGGGACTTTGCGATTTCGTCCGAGTCCTTTTCCGAATCGCATTCCATGATGGGGAAAAAGATACTGTTGGCTCTCTCGAACAGGTAGTTGTTTTCGATGTCGATGTCCCGGCTACTTCTTTGATACGTGTTCGTTGTTGTATGCGAGTTGGGGTTGTTGAACAGGCGGATTTCCACCGTCTCGCTCGCCACCCCGTGGTCGGTGCACGTCTGGTCGTGTCTCCCGTCCCCCCAGTCTATGGTCGGCGCTCCTTCAGAAACACATTTCGAACACAGCTGTTTATTACAGAACTTCTTACCAAAAAAACCCCGTTTACAAAACTGATTCTTCGCGCTTAAAAACGTAAAACTCTCTTTCGTTTTTCTATCCTCTTCCCCTTCCACAACCAAACGACTGAAAGTATTTCCGTTTCTTGTTATCGTCTGCGAGTGATTTTTAGGTTTATATCTAACATCTGAAGTCGTCGTTGTAGCGACTCCTCCGGTTTCTTCTTCAATAGCGGACAAACCCGGATCGTCTCCGGAATTTCTTCTTCCGAAAATCCGTCTCATGAACTGTCGGTTTTTATACTGCGCTGATCGGAATTTATCTCGGGAAACGAACTCGTTGTAGTAGTTCCTTAGGTTGGCTTCTTCCCTCTCGCGGCGGATGTACTTGACCATGAGAACGACGATACTGAAGGCGTAGAACATGAGAACGATGACGATGTACAACAGGGCGTCCAGCGAGCCCGGGAGTTTGACGGCCGCCGGGGTCTGGGAAGAAAGCGCCTCGCCGCACGGTTTATCGGAGATATCAACCATCGTCGCCCCGGTCGTGTCGAGAAGCTGTTTCTCGTGAACGTTGTCATCTAGCGGGATGAGAACAGGCGACAGCAGAACAGCCGTCGTGCTGTTGGATATCCATTCAGTTGAATTCATCTTTAAAAAAAAAAAAAAAAAAAAAAAAAAAAAAAAAAAACTAAAAATATAGGATAATTTTTTTTTTGAAATTTCTCAACTCAGCATGATGGTCACGTGATTGGATCACGTGACGAAGAGCTCGACCAATCCGCGTGACGCTTGCAGCTCAACCAAGTGTAAAACTTGTAATCGTCTGATCGCTGTTTTATCGACCTGCATTTGCTCAGGATTATGTAAATTCACCGCCGACTCCCAGCGAGTGAGTTATTTACATCGCTGGTTATTTGTCCGTTTTAGGTGTACCTTCGACTTCACCACCAAACATCATCCTAAAAATACCTACCCTACCGACCACCTTTCACATTATTTAAATTCATCCATTATTATTCCTTCAAATAAAACTTTCCTCTATCAACAACAGGAACGATAATTCAGTTTCTCTAGCTAGTGAACTCCCACTCTTCAGTAAAAAAAATTTACCGAAATCTCAGTTCAAATGACGCTTTGAACCTCTATGTAGATGAAGCTAATATGCTTTGATCCTATCCGATGATCACATAGAAAATGAACACCAAAGCTTCCATTATTGATCGCTCAGCTGTTGTTTTTTTTTTTGTCCCATCTGTATTTTTTTTTATAACGATGGAGGAAGCAAAATTTTGAGGAAATTTTCCAAAAAAAAAAGAAGTTTCTTTTTGTTTTTTAAAAGAATGTTCTGAAAGTAATGCAGCCCTTCAAGCAGACGTCACACGCTTGGTTGAACATGGACATGACAGGATGAGATACCGGAGGTCATCTGAGGAAGTAGAAGATTTTTTAAAAAGGATTTTAAAAAGGAAAGTTGCAAAATATTGTATAGGACAAGACAGTCAGTTGGGCGTATAGGGGTAAAAGTACGCTCACTAGTCAGCGATATATAGACACAGATTAAACATACTATATATGTATATATATATATATATATGTATATATATATATATATATATATATATATGTATATATATATATATATATATATATATATATATATATATATATATATATATATATATATATATATATATATATATATATATATATATATATATATATATATATATGTATGTATCGTACTTACATATAAAGCTTATACTTACACATTACTCACACGTGTATTTGTATGTATATGTATATATTTTCTTTTATTTATACAAATATGTATATAGCCTATATTATATGCATGTTGTTATATCATGTATAACTGACACTTGATTCAGGTATCCACTCTAGCTGGATGGACCCAGTAAAGTGTTGGGAACTAGTAAAGTTCCCTTTCAAACATGACGGCCTAAGGGGCAAGTGAAGTAGAGTTCACCTGTTTCTGTGACCTCGGCATATGAAGAGATAGTGTGATCAGCACTATGCCCAGCCGACTATACTTTCCCAAACGTGAGTTAGTTACCAGAGGTGGGTGGACTGACTTGAACCCGGATTCAAAATTCGAGACTTTATTGTAAGCAGTCTAGCGTTCTACTGCCAGGCCACACCGTCCCCGTTGGGGGCCAGAGGAGAACTCAGTTGTATCAGTATAGCTGCTCTGCACCCCCACCCCCACAACGTTAAAAACTTACCCAAAGCAATCTATAAAATACAATGCAATAATTAACTTCTACGGGACGGCATGGTCCAGCTAACATAAAAGTCTCAAGTTTAAGTCAGTACAACATCCCCGAGTCCCTCCAGTTCTGATGGGTACCTAACTGACTTTAAGGAATCTAGACAACTTGGCATAGTGCTGACCACACTATCCTTTTATATGCCGAGGTATATGAAACTCTACTTCATCTGCTCCATGCCCCGGGAAAGAGAAAGATGATGTTAAAATTTATAGCCATAACACGTCATCTAATCCCACTCTTCAAACTTAAATCTGTAGGGACAGTCTGTTCGTTTTTCTGCCGATATACATATAGAAGAAAATCCCTCTCCTCCAGTAAACACCCCCTCCACTATACACCCCTCCAGTCAACACCCCCTCCAGACAACACCCCCTCCACTATACACCCCTCCAGACAACACCCCCTCCAGACAACACCCCCTCCACTATACACCCCCTCCAGACAACACCCCCTCCACTGAACACCCCCTCTAGACAACACCACCTCCAGTGAACACCCCCTCCAGACAACACCCCCTCCACTGAACACCCCCTCCAGACAACACCCCCTCCAGACAACACCCCCTCCAGTCAACACCCCCTCCAGACAACACCCCCTCCAGTCAACACCCCCTCCAGACAACACCACCTCCAGTGAACACCCCCTCCAGACAACACCACCTCCAGTGAACACCCCCTCCAGACAACACCCCCTCCACTGAACACCCCCTCCAGACAACACCCCCTCCAGACAACACCCCCTCCAGTCAACACCCCCTCCAGACAACACCACCTCCAGTGAACACCCCCTCCAGTGAACACCCCCTCCAGTGAACACCCCCTCCAGTGAACACCCCCTCCAGACAACACCCCCTCCAGTAAACACCCCTCCAGTGAACACCCCCTCCAGTGAACACCCCCTCCAGACAACACCCCCTCCAGTAAACACCCCCTTCAGTCAACACCCCCTCCATCAAAACCTTTCTTCCAGTAAGCACTCCCTCCAGTAAACACCCCCTCCAGTAAAACCCCCTCCAGTGAACACCCCCTTTATTCAACACCCTCTCCTGTCAACGCCTTTCCTCCAGTCAACACCCCCTTCCTACCGTGGAAGCCCTCTCCTCTACTTAACACCCCTCTAGGGGACACCCCCTCCTCCAGCTAACACCCCCCCCCCCCTTCTCCTCCGTCTAACCCAGATTCCACCAATGTACCCACCCTTTCGTTTAACACCAGCCTAAAGTCCTTTCCTCTCCATCACGAGCCATCGAACAGTTCAATAATTAAATTTTTATACCAACCAAGGCGACGAGAAACGGGGAATTAAAAAAAAATGATGCTTAAAAATGCGAAAAATACCCCTGCATTTCAATGGAAGCTAAAAAGAAGTACAAAGGGAAAAAATTGCGAGCTAGCATCGATTGGGTGGGCCTGAACTTTTTGAGGTGTATTTGAGATTCAGTTGGTTTCAAACACTGGCGCTAGTGATAGCAATACATATTTGACGAATTCCGGTGCTGACGATACCAATACATATTTGACGAATACCGGTGCTGAGGATACCAATACATATTTGACGAATAGGGGTACTGACGATATCAATACATATTTGTGGAATAGCGGTGCTGACGATACCAATACATATTTGACGAATACCAGTGCTGACGATACAAATACATATTTGACGAATACAGGAGCTGACGATACCAATACATATTTAACGAATACAGGTACTGACGATACCAATACATATTTGACGGAACCAGTGCTGACGATACAAAACATATTTGATGAATATCGGTGCTGACGATACCAATTCAATGATACATATTTGACGAGACAAGATCAAGGTGTGCGGGCCTTGGTTTCTGAAGGTTTGAGTGAAGTGAGTTTGGATGTACTCCGGTGTACCAAATAGATTTTTAAAAGTCATTTTGAATTGGGAATTACAATTTTAGGGTGGGGGTAAAAACCGCACCAAATGGAGTTACAATTTTAGGGGGGGGGGAGGTAGGAAGCGGTAAAACTGAATTTTGAGATTTTTTACGTGCAACTATGATATAGGACAAAACAAGCCATTTTCACTCATTTCGAACCACCCCTGGTTTTATATTCCCCCCCCCCCCCATATAATTTGATTTCTTTCCTTGAACTATCGTCCTAACCAGGTACCAAGACGAAGGTCGAAGCTGTCCAACTTTTTTTTTTTTGCTTCAGAAAAATTAATATCGGAATCACATTTTTTTTAACATCACCTGCCGCATTATAAGAGAAATTTTGAAGCCTATATAGTCGAATCATTCTTAAACCGTTTTATAAAATTCGGAAATTTTCCAAAAATTTGAATGAAGAACTGCCCAATACCATCATATTCCCCTAAATTACACAATATATTAAATGGTAATCCCTGTCGTTTAATAAAAATGTGTAACATGTATACCACAGATCCATATTCGTGAACAACAGATCTTGTATAATAAAGCTACCGTCATTACATCTTCACAGAAAAAAAAACTAGAAAAAAAAGCAAGGAAGTATCAACGCAAATAAATCGGAAATGACTTCCTATAGGTCCTTACCTCGGAGATACTTAAGATAAATAAAGCGGGATTGATCTTCCCTAAACTTTCTCGAATATTCTTACATAACAATACGGGGGATGGCAACTTGGGATATAGATCTGATTTAAAATAGAATAGAATCTCGTAGAAAAAAAATTGCACACCAAGTGAACGGCAAACAATATGTCTGTAATAGTGCGGAATATTATTACTTTATAAATGTACATGCGTTTTTGAGAAATCGGAAATAGCGTAAATTACTGCTTCCGGTCAACACAAATTACTCAAAATTTGACAGAAGGCAGAGAATTATATCTTTTACTTACGTGTGAAATTGTATTTATCTATCTCAAATAGTTCTTAGTTTATAGGCTTTTGAAACTTCCGGTTATCGGAAATCGCTGAAAAATTGATACATAACTACAATTTTGATATAATACTTTTTTATGAAATTTCATCAACCTAGCTGTAAAGGTACTTAAGTTATCTTGTTCACAGATATACACACATACACACACACAGACATAGATATACACACATACACACACACACAGACATACGGACAAAATTGCAAAACTATGTTTTTTCGACTCAGGGAGGTGTAACATGTCGAGATTTTCACGATGTTTTGCACTTCCTCTATACTTCGTATACGAGAAAGTAAAAATAGGAATGTACATAAAAGTAGAGTCATTTAATTTCTCGGGAGTTCTAGTTTGGTTTTGACGCATTTAACTGCGCTATTTTTTCGGATCTTTTTAGTGTTTCAAATTTTCCAATGTGTATTCTTTCTTGACATCCACTACTATGTGTGATTGAAA